AGCAGAGAGCCCGATGCGGGGCTCGATCCCAGAACCCTGGGATCATGACCTGAGCCGAAGGCAGACGCTTAACGACTGAGCCACCCAGGCGCCCTAATTTCACTAGGGTTTTGAGCTTTTGCAACCAGAGTGCTCAGCACAGGACTTGGCACATAATGATTGTTCAATTAATGACTGTTGAAGGAATAAATAAATGAAGATACTACATAAGATACTTAATGTTTAAATATTAAGCTTTTCAGAAAATAAAAGAAGGAAGGGAGAAAGAAGAAAAGAGAGGGGAGACAGGGAGAGGAGAGGGGAGGTGTCCGGAGAGAAGGAAGGGAGTTCCGTCCATCTCGGAGGTTCTTTTCTGGCCTTGGTTTCTAGGTCACTCTGTATTCTGGGAAATGACGATGACTTTTGGAAAATGTCTGTTTAGCTAAGAGATTTATTTTGGGAGAGTTGTCTCCAGATCTTCGAAGGGCCTAATAGTGCTGCTGTTCCTGCCTGCTTACCGGGAGTGCATTACTTGGCAGCCCGCTCCCTTCATGGTGAGTTGTAGGCAGGAGAAGCAACAGGGTGTAGCCCAAAGAGCAAAGTCTGGGTCACAAGATGCGAGTTTAAGACCCGGTTGTGAGATCGTGGGTGAGCCTTTCTCCTACTCTGAGCCTCGGTTTTCTTATCTCTCAGCGGCTGGATAAGTTCTCACACTTGGGCACACATCAGAATCCCCCAGAGGGCTTGTTCAAACAGATTTCTGGGCCCCACCCCAGCCTTTCTGACTCAGGGAGTCTGGAGCAGAGCCAGAGAATCTGCATTTCTAACAAGTTCCCGGATGCTGCTGATGTTGGTGTTCCAGGACGGCAGTCCCTTGAGCGTTTTCGATAATGGTGACGGTGAGAGTGATGGTGACAAGTTAACTAACATCTACTGAGTGCTGCCTCAGCAAGCCTGCATTCAGCCCCTGAGCTTGTCGCGTCTTCCAGATAGTCCTCTTGGGCCCTTGCTGTCCCATAAGGAATGGTGGGCAGCTTGCTGGCTTGGGGGTGGGGGCAGTCCGGGCCCCGCTGTTTGCCAGCTGAGTGATTTGGGGGAAGTCACTTAACCTCCCTGAACCTCGTTCCACCCATCTGTTCAGAGAGGATAATAATACCTACCTCGCAGCGTTATTGAGAGATTTCTTCATCACTACACGGGAAACTCATAGAACAGGGCCTGCCTTGGTAAATGCTCGAAAATGTTACCTATGATGACCCCCCCTTTGTATCGAGAAAATAGGGGCTCTTGGGGTTAAAACAGGTCATTCAAGGCCACCTAGCAGACAAGTGGTGGAGATAGGATGGGCTCTAGTCTCTCTGAGACCAGGTTTCTGCTGATGGCAACTGTTAATAAATTTGCATTGCTCAGGCCCTAAGAAGAGAAAGTGGACAACCTGTATCTTTGTGGAAGCTTGCTTCCTCGTGTGTTGGACGAAGGAAGAGGAGGGGCGAGAAAGGGGGAGACAGGGTTTGCCAATGTTGCAGTTGCTTGAAGAGGTGTGTGTTGATAATGGACGATAGCCGTGCCTATCTCGTGAGAAAGATCTGGCTGTCCCCTTGAGGTTTTCATACTCACGGCCCACAGCTTGATGGTATCACAGAAAATTTCTGTACCACTGGTGTCCAGAAATCCTCCGGGGACAGGAGGCAAAGGACTGTCCCAGAGGGCACAAAACCAGAGTGTAGCACCTCTTGGCAGCGTTTAGTCCTGAGGATGTGCCTGCTGGAGGCGGGCTCGGGTCCCTCCAGGTGCTGCAGCCGAAGTGGCCCCGGGCCTCCTGTCTGGTAACTCAGTCAGCGGAGTGAGCAATAGCCAGAGAGACAGAAGAAATGCCTGCCGGTGAGAACAGCAAGCACGTTCGTACCCACACAGCCCACCGCCCCTAGAAGTGCATTTAGAGGAATTCTCAAGTCTCCCTTTCTCTCTGAGATGCCCGCAAATGCATTGCTTCCTAATCTTTGGGGGGCACAAATCCTTTGGAGAACTGGAAACTTATGGATCCTTTTTCCAAGGGGATAGTTAAAAAGGCTTCCTCGTACAGACAAGGTGACCAACTGTCCCCACTTCCCTGGGGTTTCCCCACATTCAGCGCTAAAATCAGGGAAGTTCTTGCTGACCTGCAACTCTGGGGCCTCCCAGATCCCCCAGAGCCCACTTCACTAAGGAGCCCTGTCCTTGTCCGTTTGTTTATCGGAGAAGGAAAGATGCGTTGGCGCAGGGTCATACCTGCCTTCAGTGACTCAAGTGACTCAGTCACAGAAAGCAAGCATCCCCGTTCTTAGGTCCTTGGTGTGAGAGTTCGCTCGGGCTCTCAGACTCTGCACTTTGCACAGCACGATGCACTTCCCAGGGACCCGGCTTCTCCGGCAGGACCTGGTTTTGAAGAAAGGGGGCAGGAGCTCACCACCTGGAGGGGGTCCCTGAGAGGGATTGCCCCGGGCTCCCCACGTGTGAGATTTCAAATCCATGTGAGATTTCAAATCAGTATTTTCAAAGAGCCCACTTGAATCCGTTCACTCCCATCTGGTGTTAAGAACCTGCTCGATGGGTTGCTTGTCCCGCTCAAAGTGCAGCTCAGGGTGCGGACTTGACCACTTCCGATGCCCCATGTGAGCAGAATCATACAGGATTCTTCCTCAGCCTACTCTCTTCACAAAGGAGGTGCTGGCTGGGTTAACCAGTGGTTGGGACCCGAGTCACCCCACAGGTGATTACAGGGTCCCAGGTACTGTGCAGACGGGTGGCCTTGAGAGACAGCCAAGCCCAGACCCCCCTCCTACAGAGTGACCATCACCTGTTGGTGTTTGCAAACTTGGGTCGTGGTCCGCCGTGGCCTTGCCTCCACTCCCTGCACAAAGCACCGTCCCCCCGCCCCCTCCTCGACACACACGGAGTCTGCAGGCTGAGCCCCTGCTGATGGCCACGGTCACGGCTGTAAGTCGCTAGGTTTTGAATGAAGGCAGGACTAGAGTCTGCCCTGCAGACGTCCGTCTGACTTTAAGTTGGCAACTTGCTGAGCTAGATTGAGCAGCTGGTTCCGTCAGTGTGACTCAACATGTTATCGATGTCTCAGGGGCCATTCTCCTGGTGACTTCGTTTTCTGACTCTTTGGAAGTCATCACACTTAAGGGGCCTCATCAGTGGAACATTTTGGTCATGAGACAGTGGTCAGCTGTATGGGTTTCTTATGGCCGCTGTGACAGATGAGCACAGACTTAGTAACTTCGTGGCCTTTCTCTCTCACGGTCTAGAGGTCAGAAGCCCAGCACAGGCCTCCCCGGGCGCAGGTCAGGCTGTCAGCAGAGCTTCATTCCTCCTGGAGAGCCCCCTGCCCCGTGTTTCCGTGCCTTTCCCACTTTCCGGAAGCCGCCCATGGTCCCCGCTTGTGCCCCCCCCGCCCCGGCCCTGCATCTGCAAAGCCAGCCCTGTGGCATCGGGCGCCGTCACCCTGTAAAGATGCTGCAGGGGCTCTGGGTTGCGGTAAAGACTGACACCCCCTGCCAAGGCCAGGGTTGGCTTTTTACCCCAGGCTGGATGACAGGATCGTAGAAGTGGCAGGAGAGGGTCCCCCACGTGGTACTTCACCTTGAGTGTGCCTCAGTCACCTGGCCCTTGTCGGGGGTGACTCTGAATCAGCCCGTCAGGGCGAGTGGGGACCGGCTGCCCAATCCCTGAGTGAATCTCCCCAGTTTGAGAAATGGTGATTAATTAGTCTCAGACATTCCATCCTGAGGATCATTTTTCTATTGGATAACTAAAGACCCTAATGAAAATTTAACTCAAGGGTTTATTACCCAGGAATTGGACTACTTGGTAACCTTGGAGAACAGCACACCCTGCCCCTACTTGAAAGCCAGCGGCTCCCTTGGCCCCTAGAATAAGCCTCAACTCCCCCTGCGGTCCTCACAGCCCCACGGGATGGGCTCCATTCACCTCTCCCACCTGTCCTGCCACACTCCACCTGCCTCTGTATTCCAGCCACCCTGGCCCGCCCTCCGTTCCTCGGACATGACAAGTTCACTCTTACCGCACGCCCTTTGCACAGGCTGTCCCCTCTGTGTGGGATGCTCTTCCCAGAGATATTCCTAGGCGGTGACCCATTCCTTTTTGTCCTCCAAATCTAAGCTCCAGTGTCACACCAAGAGCAGTCTTCCCGGATTAACTATTCTAAGAGTGTCTCCACCCAGTCACTTTATCTCATGAGCTGGTTTTATTTTCTTCACAGGCAGAGTTGCTTGTTTGTGTATTTACTTGTCAGGCTCCCTCAACTGCATGAAGGTCAAGTCTTTATTGTGTTCCCTGCTGAGTTTTCCTGCATCTAGCACAATGCGTGGCACTAGTAGGTGCTCAGAAAATACTTGCTGAATGAATGAATGCATGAACGAATGAAGGAGGCCAGGTCTCTCTGGAGAGACCCCTAAGGAATCAAGGGGATGATGGGTATTTCCTAGAGGTGACTTGACACTCCCCCTCATCCCCGACCACGCCACCAAGAACTGGTTGGCAGCAGCAGGGCCTCGCCCAGGAACACGGCATCCTTGACGTTGACCATGGCTCTTCTGGCGCTTTCAGAGTTCAAGCATCTGCAAGACGGCCGTGCATGCGGGAGTCATCCAGAACGAGAGCGGGGGTTATGTGGACGTGATGCCCGTGGATAAGAAGAAGACCTACGTGGGCTCGCTCAGGAATGGAGTCCAGTCTGAAAGGTAGGGCTGCGTTCTCCGGCTCTTGACACCCAGGGTCCACCAAGGGTGCCCCTGAGGCACCCGGGAGGGAAGCCAATGACCTTGACCTTGGGAGTAGAACTTGGGCAGGCTTGCGCTCATTCCTACCAGAATACCCAAAACGAGCCTGTTCTTTTCTCTTCCTTTCTGTTTTAAAACTAAGAACTTTTTTCTGTGACAATATCTGTTTTTGTAGAAGATTTAGAAGCATCCCATAAGCCCAAAGAATAACAATCATCCATAACCTGTCACCTGGGGGAGTTACCGTGAGACTTGTGGTGTGTCTTCCTCTGGTCCTTTTACTTGGCGTGTATGCAAAGAAAACAAATGGGATCAATTTATGGTGACACAGTGCTTCTCTGTAGTTAACGATAGTATAGTTACATGTGTTACAGAAGTAAGAGCAAGGGGTCTGGAGCTCCGCCTCTCACCAGCTTTGTGCCTGCGAGCCAGCCACCTGATTTCCTTGCGCCTCAGTGTTCTCACCTGTGATATGGGGACAGCACTGGTCTCGGCCTCACAGATTGCTGGAGGATTAATCCAGTGGCTGTCTGGTAGCTGAGAGCAACAGGCCCTCAGGAGAGGAGAGTCTAGTACTCTGTACTTTCACTGAATAGATCATCAAGGCTGCTCCTAAGTCCACCCCCCACCCCTGTGTCCCTGCTGGTGACCCCACACAGTTGCATCCAGTGGGCCCCCTGCACCTCACTTCCTGGTTGGGCAGCCCAGCACTTTTCCGTCCTGGGGGGCTGATCGTCCCTGTGATGACCATCCTCACGGGGGAATGTCTGCACCTGCCAATGCTTGTTTCTGGAAGTCCCTGGAAGTGACATTCCTAGATCAAAGACCGGGCAAACGTCTGAGGCTTCATATGCCTTTCCAGAACGGCCTCAGGCTGCCAGTTTATCTTCTGGCACATGCTGCTCATCCTCACCTGTGTCCCTGTTGTCCACGGAAGCACCTCCCAGGCCTCACAGCCCAGGGATCCAGGCCCCAGTCCTGGGGTTTCCTCTTGAGAGCCCCATGACCTCACACAAGGCACCAGCCTTTCCCGAGCCTGAGTTCCTGTGTCTGTGAAATGGGTCTCATGACTCACCAAGAGGCAGATCCCTCTTGGGGGTAGAGTTGTTCTCAGGGCTGGTGGGGCAAGGTACAGAAACATTGCAGTGCCGGAGGCTGGAAGTCCCAGATCAAGGCGTGGGTGGGGAGGACTTCCTCCTGAGGCCTCTCTCCTGGGTGTGTAGACGGCCGCCTTCTCCCTGTGTCCTGACAGGGTCCTCCCTCTGTGCTCTTCGGTGTCCTACTGTCCTCCTCTAAGGAGACTGGTCAGATTGGATCGAGCTTCACCCTCGTGACCTCATTTTTAACTTCATTATCCCTTCAAAGACCCTCTCCAACTACTGTCTCCCCCCACTCTGAGGCATCGGGGGCTGGGATTTAAACATAGGAATGGGGTCTGGGGGACACAGCTGAGCTCATAACAGAGGGGAGTGCTGAAATTTCATATTTGAGGGCCCTTCTTTTGAAAAGGAGTGTAAAATCAAGAACACAAAACGTGCCAGGCCCCCAGAAGCTTGGCTTTCGTGGCACCCCCCCATCCTCCCGTCAGGATGGTGCTGCTTGTGGGGACGCTGCAAGGTGGCACGAAGATCCCCCCCAGGGGCCCAAACAGGAACTCTGTCCTGAGCCCCGACACCGGAGCGAACAGCATCTGCATCTTCTTCAGCGTGGGCAATCTTTGTCTGGGAAAAGCTTAATGAAGGGAAATTCCACTGATTTAATGGGAGGGAAATGAGGCAGCTGATTAGGTGGCATTTCCTGGCCAGGCTGGGAAGAAGTCCCAGGACAGCACTCTGTTGAGTTATCTGTACCCCTCGAAGAGGAAACGGTCTTGCTGAGAAAGGTGGCGGGCTGGCCTCCGGGCTCACTGCCCAGCTCATCCCTGAGTGGCTCCCTGAGGGCAGCCACGTGGCTTAACGTGCGGCCCCCGCAGGTGGGTGTCTGAGACGGGTCTGCAGAGTGGCTTCTTTCCCACCGTCAGCCTCCCCGCCCCCCGAGACCCGTCGTTCTTTCTCTCTCCCCAAGTGACCCGCCCAGCATCGCCATCATCATCATTATAAATACCTTCCAGGCAGGCTTTCCCAGGCCCAGAAGTGGCGTTGCCCACTGCGCCATTCAGAAGGGTTCTAGGGAGTTTCTGCAGCATCTCCAGAGTTGAGATCCCGCTTCCCTTCCTCCTTGGACTCGCTCTCTTGTGACTCAGTTTCCCCACCTATAAAGGGGAAGGTGATAACACCTACGCCCTGGGGTTAGTGGTAAGGCGGTAGGTCTCAAACCGGCCCCCACAGACCAGCAGAATCCAAATCAGCTCGGAGCTTGCTACAAAAGCAGGTTCTCGGGCCCTCCCCAGACCTGTGGAGTCTGAAGCTCCGGGACTGGGCTCTGCGATCTGTGTGAACACGACTCCCAGGGGTCCTGGTGCAGGCGGGACGATGACGTGAGGGTGGTCGCATCCCCTGCACACACAGGCACCGTGGGGGACTCTGACATTCTGCAATTCGGACTCATTCTCATGGGGTACCAGGACCAGCGCTGGGGTCCATGGGTGTCGAAATGACACAGACCACCCTGCACACACAGAAGGGGGGGGGCTAGGCCAGGAGGGTGCAGGCATTTGGGATCCTGCTCCCCTGCTCGCCAGCTGGGTGTCCTTGGGCAGGCGGTCTCCCCAAGCTTTGGTCTCTCCTCTGCCACATGGTTGCCGTGAGGATCACTGAGATGGTTCGTGCCGAGCACTGCCTGGCGGCTCACTGTAAGTGCCCGATGAATCCAGGGCCCTCGGCTATGGTAGCACTTACGAGGTCTGTTGCACACCCCAGGGCGCCATGGTTCTTGCACACAGGACCAAGTGACTTGTACGTAAGAAATAGGCTGCGTGGATTGTCTTTTGGGACAAGGGGGAAAGCATCTTGCAGGATCTCACTCTTTCATCCTTGCATCCACCCTTCCATTGCACGCTCACCCATCAGGGGTCATACGCTTGGCGAGCACGCACGATGTCCCAGGCACCGGGGTCCAGCAGGGAACACGCAGCTGGTCTCTGCCCAGGTGGGGCGTGTCACCCAGTGGGGTTGGAGCTGACAAGAGAAATGACCACTGCCGTTGCAGGGCCCCGGGCATCACTGTGCTGGGGTAGGGCAGGCAGCTGAGCTCATGAAGCAGGGCCCAATCTCACTAGCTAGAGTCTCCTCCTTGGTGACGTGGTTCCACCCATGCCCCACCCGCCCCTTGTTTGATGGGGACCTCAGCAGCCCTCTGCACAGAGACCAGGACTGAGAAATCTCCCCAGAGCCTGTTCCCATTAGGGACTGTGGGAACCAAGCCTGGGGCTAGAGGGTGGCTCTGTCCCATCGTCTGTTGGTACCCGAGAGCGGTCCCAGTCGGTCCCAAGGGAGTTGTGGATGCTGGACACTCTGGGACCTGTGCACAGCAAACTTCATTCTAAATTTAGGGAATCCTTCAATCAAGCGAGCAAACAAAAGCCTCCTGAAAAGAATTCTCAGCACATGGGCCAAAAGTCAGTCCGGCTGCAAAGTGGCTTTGGTTTAGCAGTGTCCTTTTTCTAGAAGAGGATATCCTGAGAGTTTTGAAAGACGAGTATGCAGAACTGGAACACTGTGGGAGGACAGGAATCTTCTTTCTCACACACATGCCCGCAAGGGATAGCAGAGGAAAGATGTCAAGAAGAGCTTTTGACATTGGGACCAGGGTTTGCCGGAATATTCTCATAAAGAAGCTGGACATCTGGATGAATATCAGTTCAGGAATTTTTCCTAGACCAGGACCATTTTTCAAGACCGATTTCACAAGGAGATTGGGAAATAGACCAACGAAGACAGATAGCATTCTTGGTCACTTGGTTTTAACAAACGTAATACAGAGGTAGAAGGTATGTATGTAGGTGGACTTTCATCCAGAAGAGGGCTATTCATGTCACGGTCGTGGGGCAGCTTCTGTGTGGCAGGCACTGACCTCCTGGGACACGTCCAGCACTCACTTAATTATGAGCCACACGGGATTCTAAACGTTCTAGTAGACGCGGTAAAAAGTAAAAAGAAGGGAAAATTTAGAATATATTTGATTGAATTCAGTGTATCAAAAATATTACCATTCTAATGCGTATTAATAGAAAGTTACTGATAAGAAATATGCATTCTTTTTTTTTTTTTAATAAATAAGATCTTGGGGATCTAGTGTGTATAGTACACACACAGCACATTTTCAGTTTGGGCGAGTCACATCTCAAGTGCCCAGTAGCCACTGGGACTGGTTGGTTCTTCTGCTGGGCAGCCCAGCTCTGGGACTCTTAAGGGTTGGGTGTCTGAAAATCTGTGTATCCAGAAACTCGGAGAAGCAGAAACCATTAAGCTGTTGTTTCCGGATGGCATGAGCTCTGCCCTCTCCCCCAAGCCAGCTGGACCACGGCTGGGTGTCAGGTTCCCTCTGCTGTGCAAGTGGGTGGGTTGCCCCTCCCGCACCCTCTAAGATCTGTACACACATTAGCTCATCGAATCCCCCCAACAGCCCCATGAGGGGGGGACCCCAGTTAGCCCCACTTTATCAGCAAGGAAAGGGAGGCACAGAGAGGTTAAGTGACTTGTTCAAGGTCACCCAGCCAGCAAGCCACAGAGCCATGATCGAATCCAGACCGCCTACCCCAGCCCCCATGCTCTTCCCCAGCACACGTGACTCCACGCCACAGATAGGTCCCTGAGCCTGGGCCACAGGCCCTGCCCAGGAGGGGCCAGGGGAGCATTCGGTATGAGGGTGCACTTGTTTCTATCTTTAAACGTATTTATTAGAAAAGAAATACGTGCTTACTATTTAAATAATAAGTCTCAGGAGTAGAAAATAAGAGTCCCCCACAGGTGTCCTGTTAACCTCTGTTAATTGCTCATTTATAGCTTTCCAAGCCTTTTCCC